GCTTCCTGAGTGTTGAGATTAAAGGAGCAGACCACCACTGCCCAGCTAAAAAATATTTTTAAAAGAAAGGGGGAGGGAAGGCTGGAATTATAGCTCACTGGTACAACACCTACTTAACATTCCTGAGGCTATCCATTCAATCCTTACTACTGCACATACAGGAACACACACACACACACACACACACACACACAGAGTAGATAAATATAATATTACAAATTAAAGGAGTTGGAGAGGTGGGTTAGTTGTTAAGAGCACTAGTTGATCTTGATCTTACAGAGGACCCTCACAACTGTCTGTAACTCCAGTTCTACAGGATCTGATCCCTTCTTCATGCACTAGGAATGCATGTGGTACACAAACATCTATGCAGGCAAAACACTCGTGTATGTATGTATGTATGTATGTATGTATGTATGTATATATCTCTGTGTGTGTGTCTGTGTGTCTGTTGTCCTTTATGAGAGTTGCCTTGGTCATGGTGTCTCTTTACAACAATCGAAACCTTAACTAAGACATATATAAAATTTTTAAAAAGAAAACAAAACCAAGAATTAAAAATCACATTAAAATGTCCCTTCCCTGACTCCTCAGCTTCATAGATCACAAGACAAGGGACATCTCTGAGCCTTTGGGAAACATTTTTAGAAGTTCCTCCCCTGACAAATGTTAGTGTGCCTTTGGCCAGACCTAGACTCTACCACACAGAGAGAGGAGGCCCCCAATTTCCCAGTGAAGAGGAGAGAAGAAAACCTTAAGACTAAAGATCAGGAAAACAGCTGTTTATTCCAAAACAAAAAACAACAACCCACCCCCAGCCAAGTGCCAGCTCCTCTTACTGTCCTCACCAGGAAGTTGAAGGTGAGTTCAGCACTGAGAGAAAGAGTGGGGAGGGAGAAATGGGGTTCAGAGGTGTGGAGGAACCTCTGGTGTGGCACTTTTGATCTTGTCTCTGACACCCCCTCTGCAGCCCCCAATCTGAAGGGGGCTTTTCTGCAGGGCAGTGCACGCCCTGCCCATGTGTGTTTGTTTGTGTTTATTGGGGAGCAGGGGGAGGGGAGGGGAAGACTCAGAAGGCCAGGTCCCAGCTCTGGAAGCATCGTGGTGATGGTGGGGGATGAGCAGAACAGGGCCTGCTGGCCCACCCTCAAGACCTCTCCCCACTATGGCTTTATTGAAATAAGAGGTCAAGATTCCAGGGTCAGGCAGGTGGAGGGTGGAGGCTGGGATAAGGAAGGAATTTAGGTGAGGGGAGGGAGGGATGGAGGGAAGGAGAGACCTGACAAACAAAAGCTGAAAGCTGAACCTCTCCAATGCTTGGGGGCTAAAGAACGCTGTGTGTTCCGTAAGAGTGTGAAGCACGCTTGAAGGGAGGCCCTAGAATGGATGGGGAGCCCACAGAGCATCTATTAGTTGGGAGACTGAAAACCTGGTGCTGGAGTTTAGGAAGATTGGTGGCAACCTCCTACTTTCCTCAGCATGGTGAGAGCCTGGCACCATCTATCCCATCCAGGCTCTGGGCAAGAAGGGATGGCCACAGAGGCCAATATTTGGTGGGTGAGGGAGGCATAAAAGGGAGAGGGCGGCCCAGAGGAGGGAGGAGAGCCCCCCTCCTCGCCTTAGGGGCTGGGAGGGGGGCATGTAGCCCTTTAAGAGTGGGGAACGGCCGCCCCCCTGAAACATGGCTATATGTACAGAGAACTGGGTATGGCGGGGTAAGATTGTGCACTGGGGTTAGGGACTCCCTGAAGCCCCTGGGTACTCCCTGGTATGTTAGGGAACGGGGCAAAGGAGCACCCTTGGCCTTTTCAGGTGAAGGTAGCAGGGGCCATTGCTCTCAGACAGACCTACCCCAGGAATAGGCCAGCAGGTGGTTTATTAGCTGTGGCATCTCCCACATCCTCTCTAAAGAGAGCTTAGCCCAAGCTAGCAAGTTCTGAGCCTGGTTGGGACCAAGTACCAGGGATGGAGTCGGGTAGGGCAGTGATGCCATCTAAGGGCTGGGAAGCTCCCCCTCTGCTGCTGCTGTGGAGAGGTCACCAAGATGACCCTGTCACCGATCAGATGGCTGGGCAAGGGACAGTGGTAATCCAAGAAGAGTTTGGATGCACTCACCAGTGAGTGGAAGGAGGCTGGCCAAGGCCAAGATTGTAGGTGAAGCTGATCCAGGTATCTGTTCAGATCAGGAATGAGGCAGTGACACATTAAGAAGGGCCAGAGTGGGGATGACATCCTCAGAGGGGGACAGCTGGCTCCACCCTAGTCCATTGGAAGGAATGGGAAATGGCCTGTTGTGCTGGTTCCCCTGAAGGGAGGAACTGTAAATGCCGTGAGACCCCAGAGGACAACTGAAACATAGCCTGTCACAGCATTTGGACCCTAAGGTGGTGGATCCTGGCAGATGGCACACAATTGCCACGGGTCCTGGAAGATGAGGACACATTGTTACAGATCCTGGATGGTGATGACATATAGTTTTACATGGATTCTGGGAGAGGATGGTGGCACCATGGCTGAAGTGCACTCTGGGAAATAATGACATTATTTGGTGTCATGGGTCCAGGGAGGTGAGGTGATGACAACTATGGTTACGGTAGACTCTAGAGATAATGATGTCACTGGACTTCAGAGACCCTAAGTCATGGCGACACTGGGGTTAAAGTGGGTCCTGGGACATGATACCATTGGCTATGATGGCAGCTTGGAGGTGATAACGCCATGGTCACAGTAACTCCTGATGAGTCGTGATAGGACATGACTGATGGGTCCAGAGAGGTGACAGAATGATGGTTCTCATTGTATATGATACCTGTGACACTATTAGATGGACCCTAGGATGTAACAATTCATGATCACAAGAATCCAGGGACACCACAGTTGGGGTGGATTTTATGAAGTGGTGACATCATAGCTGTGGTGGCTACTGAGACGTGAAGACATGGTTAAAGAGGGTCCTGGGAGGTGACACTGCAATTATAAGGAATTATGAGGAACACTGGCTCTACCAGTCCTAACCAGCCCTGGTAGAGAGTGCCACCAGGAGGCCTAATGGATTTTGGGGAAGTAAGGACATCATCATCCTTGGCACAGCTTGGGAGACAAGGACACCAAGGCTGTACTGGCTCCTGAGAGATGAGGACAGCGTGGTTCTGATGGATCCTGGGAGCTGGTGAGGACTGTAGGGTTGTGATTTCTGGGAGACGATGAAGACCTCCCGGCTATGATGGATCCTGGGGGGGTGATGAGGTGAGCATGTTGTGAAGGATTCTGGGAAGAGATGAGAGCATGTTTGTGGTGGATCCTGGGACATCATGATGGCATGTTGTTTGGACCCTGGGAGATGATGACACCACGGTTGGGAGGAACCTCGGGAGACAATGAGGACACCATTAACGGTGATAGAGCCTGGAAGATGATATGGTAGTCGAGGTGAGTCTTATGGAATCCTGGGAAATGACATGGTTAACATTGCACCCCAACTGCTCTGCTATCATGATAGGAGGACATTGGGTAGCATTGATAATGTCACTGGCAAGGTCAGCAGCACATGTACCCCAACCTTCCCTCTCCAATAGAGATGGGGACTCTGATGACAGAGGTGATGTCTTTAGATATGGCAGAGAGAAGTGATGCCAGCCTTTGGCTCACCTATTAGTCCTAGGGCTTTAGAAGCCTCATGGATCAAAGCGGCTCTGGAGCTGAAGCTCATCCGTGGGTGCCATCCCCAAGGACTCACTGCACAGGCCCAGCCTTCCGTTAGAGGGGCTAGCAGACAGCATGTTGGCTACGTCCCTGGGGTCACGGGAAGAAGCCATGGAGCTTAACTATAGGCAAGTAAGATGAGGACTCTGATGACACAATCATGATGCAGTCACTACTATTGGTCATCTAGAGCGGGGACCACCTCTGAGAAGGAAACACTCTATGATGATGTCCAGGCAATGGAGGGCATCATCGCCAGCATCCTACTGACAGATCTCTGTCTTAGCATCCCTAGTGCCGACACCCCTCAGATCACATCTCAGGACAGGCTACTTTCTCTGGCCTCTTCCCCGGGTGGTCTTGGGCTACACATGACCAACTTTCTCACGACATGGCACAGCAATAGAGGTGTCTCCTGGTGTCATTTCCAAGTGGGTGGTAACTGGTAGTCACACCACAGAAGGGCCTCACCCTGGAGAGGTCCCAGGAACAGGTGGTCATTTCTGGTAATGACATCACATGAAGAGGCACGGTTCCTGTGATGGCGCCATTGGGCAAGGCACCTATTCTGGTGATGGCATCACAGGAGGGAGGCAAGATCCTGTGACAGCATTGTGGAAAAGAGGCCTAATCTTTAGTGAGGACACAATTGGCAGGGCGTGGTCCCCTGCAAGGTGTCCCAGGAAAATGGCTTTGTCTGTAGTGGTGGCATCATGGAATGGAGGCATCTTCTCCATGGCAGAGAAACATTTTTCCTGTGATGACAATGGCAAGAGGCCTTGGCACTCAGTCAGGATGATGTCAACAAGTCTCAACAAGTATGAGACTTTTCTCTGTAGTGACACTGCAGGAAGAAATTTTTGTTTCTAGGGATGATGGGATGGGACAAGGCATTGTCTGTGGTGACATCACAGGAAAGGAGTCTCTGTGGTGATGTCATGCAAAATGGACATAGCTTCTAGTGATGACCTCATAGGCAGGGCTCTTCCTCTGTGGTGACCTCATAGGAAGGAGGTTTAGTCCCTGCAACATTATAAAACACAGACATATTTTCTAGCAATGACCTCGTGTCCAGGCCTCCTTCCTCTGGGATGACATCATGGGAGGGAGGCCTTGGTTCAAACAGTGACAAAGTAGGAGGAGAGATCTCATCTACTGTAACATCCCAAAAGGAGGCGTGGTCTCTGGTCCAAGGGCCTGTCTGGTCTCAGACCCTTGGTGTATATAAGCCTGTGATGGAGATCTGGGCTGGGAGAAGGGAGCCTCAGAAGCCACAGCCCCCAGCGCTCCACCCGGCCTCAAACAGTCACTTCGTTCTTGCTGGCAGTGCGCAGATGCTGGGGCAAGTGGTGCCCAGGAATGAACTGCAGCTGCTCCAGGGTGCCCTGGCGCTGGAAGGGTGGCCTGCGGGCCAGTGTGCCCCCACCCCCGCCCGCATCAGACATCCAGGCTGGCTGAGGAGAGCCGTGAAGGGCATGGTGATGGTGGGCGTGCAGGCCTGATGGAGGCAACCCATGCAGAGGTGTGGGGGGGCCCCCAGGCCCCAGCAGCAGGTTGGAGTGCGAGGCAGCCAGGCTGGCCCGGGTGGTGGGATCTGGGGGCAGCGCAGGACTTCGTGGGGGTGACAGCAGGTGCTCGCGACTCTGGCGAAGCGCCTCCGGTGAAGACAGCAGCAGGTGTTCTTGAGACACCAGGCGTGCTCGAGGCAACGTGAACTCATAGCGGGAAGCTCGGCCACCATCACCCAGCAGGTGCTCTTGGGACATAACCCGCCGGGGGTTGGGTGCTGGTGTCAGGCCCAGCTCCTCAGGGCCACCCCAGCCATCCATGCGGTAGCCACCTCCAGTGCCAGGCCGCCGGAGTGCATGCAAGGGCAGCGTTCCACGCGGCATCTCCAGATGTCTGCGCTTCAGGTAGGCTTCATCCAGATCTTTCTCAGCTGGGGGAGAAAAGACAGAAAGATCCCTTGACAGCCCAGAGCCTTCCTCCTGGAGCCCCCTTACCCAAACCCCAGGCAGCACCTAGGGAATCTGAAAGTTTGATCAACAAGAGTCACCAAGCTAAGCAGGGCATGATGGTTTACACCTGCAATGTGTAATTGCCGAAACAGGAGGGTTACCATGGGTTTGAGGTCAGTCTGGGCTACATAGTGAGTTCCGGGACAATGTGGGTTATAAAGCAAGACTCTATTACAGAAAAGTAAAACTAAACACAAATAAACAAAACAAGAAAAACAAAAAACCCGATCCAACCCAAAATATCTCAGGCAATATGGAACCGACTAGGAAAGAAGCCGGTAGGAAGACTGAAACCCCATGCACCTCCCCATCGCCACCCGCTGTCCATGGTACTGAACCACGCACCAACCCCAGGGCCATTGGCCCTTACCCAGGCTTACTCACCCAATCTCTTGAGGGAAGAGTACCGATTCAATTCTGATTTCACAGCAGCCTCATAGGATGGGGGAAGATGAGAGAGGTTGTGGAAGGATCGAGAGCAGGACAGCGTGGAGTAGTGCAAGGAGGGGCTGGGTGGTGGCATAGCACGCCAGTCTGTGGCAGGGGAAAGACCCAGTCAGTGCAGCCCTCCCCCTTCAGACCCAGTCCTAACCCTTCTCCCTTAGACTTAGGTATCCAGAAACCAGCCCTCTTCTTTCAGACCCAGATGTTCAGACTCTACCCCTCTTCCTTCAGACCCATGGACTCAGCCCAGCCCTCCTCTCTCAGACCCAGAGTCCCAGAGCCCTCTTCTCTCAGACCCAGGTGTCCAGACCCTAGTCCTCCTCCTTCAGACCCATGGACCCAGAGCCCAGCCCAGCCCCTCAGACCCAGGGTTCCATTCTTTTTCATTCTCAAGCTGGAAGGTCCAGATTTCATCTCTCCCTCAGATTCAGGAATCCAGATGTTACCCCTCCACCCTGAGACCCAGGAGGCTGGGCCCCAGGCTTCTTCCATCATACCCCTATCATGCCCCTACCCTCCTCTCTTAGACCTAGGATTTCAGACCCCAGCCCTCCTCCCACAGCCACAGGGGTGAGGATCCCAGACCTCCTTTTTCAAACTCAGGGGTCCATGCTCTAACCATCCTCCCTTGGATCTAAGATTTCAGGCTCCAGACCTCCTCCTTCACAGGTCTAGGGTTTGGGAGGTGAGGATCTGGAGTTCTAGCCTGTGAAAGCTTCAACCTTTAGGAGCCCCTCCTTTCCCATCACATTGGACAGGATTGTGGTTGAGGATGAAATCACATTCCAGGTCGGGGACCGCTGGCATTTGTCAGCACCCACTGAATCCTGGCCTCAGCTGGGGATGCATTCCACGCATCTTCCCAAAACTTGACAGGAAGGAGATCCACCACTTCCGGTGTCCTTTCGAGGACACTGCAGCTCCCTTGGTGGGGCCAGCCCCACGTGAGCCCCGGCTCATGGGGGTCTGACTGGGGCTCCACCCAGCACCAGGCTGGGGCTGCCCAGAGTGGGGCCTGAGGACCCCCGACTCCCAGGGCGCTTCGGCCCTCTGCGTACCCAGTGTGGCGGCGCGGTGCTTGGGGCTGTTGACGTTGTAGTGCAGGTTATCTGAGGGACCGAGAAGGGAGGTGACGTCACTGTTATCGCCATCCCAGCAGGCACTCCTGCCTGGAAGTGTGTCACTGCTGGCTCTCAGTTCAGTACAGCCCCCACCCCCTCATTAGGACTCTACAGGTTGACTTCTGCTATTGGCCCCTTTGGGGGAACAGAGGATGAGTGCCCATGATCATGGTTGGGGAGTGAGATGTCCATCTTCCACATTCACCCCAATACCCAAGCCAGACGTCTCCATACCACCTCTTGCCACTCAAGCCTGGTGGCCCCTCCTGACCCCACATCTCTGCCTTGCCTGGCACCCTCCCTCTGAATCACTAAATATGCCCCCTTTTGTCATCTTCCCAGTCCACATTGAGGTGAGAAGCCAATCACAGTGGCTGCTCTTCCCTCCCCACCCCTGCCCAGCACGCAGATGATGCCTTCCATGGTTCACTATCCCTTACAGGAAAAGTGGAACATGGGGGTAGTGTCTGAGGCTTGCCACAGGGCCTTTGCCTATTCTGCAATGCTGGTCTCAATGCCTTGAATCTCTTCCTTTCCCTATTTGAATGAAATCTTTCAGGATCTAGCTTGAAGTTTCACATAGTAGGTCATGCCTGCAACCCCAGCATATGGGAGGCTGAGGCAGGTGGGTTCGAGGCCAGCCTGGTCTACAAAGCAAGTTCCAGGACAGCCAGGGCTACACAGAGAAACTGTGTCTTGGGAAGAAATAAAAGAAGAAAAAAAGGAAGAAATAAAGAAAGGAAGATTAAAGCCTGACACTGCGGCACAAGCCTGTAATCTCTAGTACTTGAGAGACACAGGAAGGAGGGTCAGCAGTTCAAGCCCAGCCTGGACTAGATGGGCCCTTATCCGAAAACAAAAACAAAAAACAAGCCAAATCCCACAAAGACCTAGATTGAATGTCCCTTCATTATTATCATTGAAAACCATCTCCTCCGTCCACCCCTGACCCACTTCAGACCCTCTTCTATTACTGCATGGGCCTCCTGAACCTCTCTCCTCTCATCTCTTCTTTTACTATAGCTTGCAGACTCCAGAACATGGGTTTTTTGTTGTTGTTGGTGGTGGTGTTTTCTTGTTTGTTTCTGGACAGGGTCTCAGTGTGTATACTGGCTGGCTTGGAATTCACAGTGATCTGCTTTCCTCTGCCTCCTGAGTGCTGGGGGGTTAGAGACACAAGCCACCAAGCCTGGCTTTCTTCCTATCTTTTCAGGCTGGAGCTAGAACCCAGGGTTCTATGCATGCTAGGTAAGCACACAAAACTACATCCCAAGGCTCTTTCTGTTGGATTCTAGGCAAGTGGGCCATGAGTTCCACCTCCAGCTCCTCACAGGTGAAGTCTACCCTTGAGCTGTTTCCCTACTCCTTGGTTTTCTTCCTTCCTTTCTTCCATCCTTCCTCTCTTTCTTCCTGCGTCTCCTTCTTTTTGGTTTTTTTGAGACAGGGTTTCTCTGTGTGGCACTGGCTGTCCTGGAACTCACTCTGTAGACCAGGCTGGTATTGAACTCAGAGATCTGCCTGCCTCTGCCTCCCAAGTGCTGGGATTAAAGGCGTGAGCTCCTACCACCCAGGATCTCTTTGGTTTTCTGGGACAGGATCTTGATATTTAACCCAGGCTGGCCTTCAACTCTTGATCCTCCTACCTCAGCCTTTCCTCAGAATTTTGGGATTACAGCTCTGTGTGTCAGCATCTATCCTCCACTCGTGCCTGTCTGCTCCCTGCTCAGAGCACCTCAATGGCTTCCCATTGACTTCAGAATGGAGAACCTGAGCTTAGCCTGAAAAAGTTTAAAACTCTAAGCTGTCTGTGGTCTCAGGTCTGAGAGCCTCTTCTCCAGCCACCCAGAGTTCCTACAGCTGACATTACTCCTCTCTCTGGGAAAAGCCCCCCACTCCCATGCCACTCCCCCATTTACTGGCTCAAATAAGACCAGAGCTTTTCCTGCCTACTATGACCTTGGGGAGTTCCCTTAGGATGAGCAAGATGCATATTGAAAGAGGAAATGTTCGCGGATGGTGGATGGAGACTGGGGGTTGGGGGGAGCAGGGCATCAGGGTTGGGGAATGTCACACGGGGAGGACAGAGCCACAGGAATGACGACACAGCCAGAGATTAGTCATCATCTGTCACTTGCACTCACCAAGGTTGGAGGGCTTCATGGTGTTGTAAAGGTTCTTGGGCGTCCTGGGGGGCATGCTGTCTGGGCCTCCCAGCCCTGGGGTCAGAGAACTGCTTCTGGCCCGGTCCGGGCGGGTTGCAGGTCCCGCTTGATGCCTGAGAATATCCACCAGAGCTCTAAAAATGGCAGATGGATGGGTGGGAAGTCAGGGACTGGGGTGGGAGGGAGCTGGGTAAGGGTCCAGGACTCTTTTTCTCTCCCTATCCTCTTCTTTAGCGCATCCACAGTGCAGAGATGTGGTCCAGTTTTGGCTGTGCACCTTCTAATGTTAACCTTTCCAGGCCACATTTCTTGCTTGATGAATTCCTTCAGGAACCCCTTCTGTGGTCTCTCCACAGTTACCTGTGTGGCCTTGCGCTACCATGAGCTAAGACCTTATTACTGTTGCTTGGGCAGCCTTCCTGGTTACTATAAAAGATGTCTTACTTGTTCACTTAGATGGACCTTTCTGAACCTTTTCTCCCTGAAATCTTTAACAGACATCCTCAATACATCACCGATCAGGCCACTTCTCAGCATGTTTCCCGCCTGGAAATCACAGCCAGTCGCTCTCCTGGTCTGCAGCTATAGTCCTTGCCTCTTGTCTACCCTCATACACAACCTAAAAGGTATTTCGCTGGGTTTTAGCTATCTCTAGTGGCTCTTCATAACACACAGAAGAAACTGAGGCCCTGCCTGTTCCTCCTCAGACACCCGCTAGGAACAGGATGCCTCCTGGATGTTGCAGTTTCCCTCGGCCTGGGATGACCCTCACACAGATACCTGAATGCCTCTGCCTCTTATTTCCTCCAGGGCCATGCTCAGACAGACTCTTTCTGATCTTTAACTAAACCCCTCAACTAAACCTTCAACTAAATCCCTCCCCAAACCAACACTCTGTCTGTTAACTTTTTACACTGGTTCGTTTCCTTCACAGCACTTGTCAATATCTATAGTTATGTTGCATATAGGCTTGCTGGATCTACCACAAATATTTAATGAGCACGTGCTTGGCCAGGACTTTACATCAGCTCAGTTAATCTCCTTTACAGTTCAAATAAACGGAGGTCTGTTCTTAGCCCTACTGTCTATGCGGGGGAAGCAGAGGCACAGAGGTTAAGAGAAGTGCCCAGCATCACACAGATCACAGGTAGAATCTTTGGACTTAGGAAACAGGCTTATCCAGAAAGGTGGGACTTTGTTCCATTCTGTATCTCTAGCCCCTGGCCCACAGAAAGTGCTTAAGAAATACTGGCTGAATGAATGAACTCTCCATACCAATTCTTTTCTATAGCCAGGTCCTTTTGTAGTTTCTGTCTTCGGGCTCCAGTTACTTCCCACTACTAACTTGGACCTCAGTCATCCGTGTAGCCACGCCCCAACAGGTTCCAAGTTCCAATGCGCAGGCCCCGCCCCCACCAGGCCGCCCCTGGTGCCCAGACCACACCCCCAAGACAGTTGCCCGACCTCTCACAGCGTAAGTCCTCCCTCTTTATATCAGTTGCTCCACCTCCCAGCACCAAGGAACCGCCTCCATCCGATTGGTCTGTTCCCAGTACCCGGCTCCAGGCTCCCTCCTGTCCCTCCAGCCCCAGCGCACACTTACCTGGGCACGTTGATCTCCCGGTGCGCCCTGGGCGCACGTGACGCCTTGCTGAAGGCCACTTTGGCACCGACGCCTACCGCCAGGGCGAAACTGATGACTCCGCACACCACGTAGGCTGTGCTGCCCCCTGGGCCCTCTCCCCCACGTCCCCCAGCGCCCCCGGCCCGGCCCCCTTCCAGCCACCCTGCCTGGCCCGGCCCTGGCCCCCCACCCGCACCCCCAGCGCCCCCGGCGCCTCCAGCCAGCGGCGGGGGCGTGGTGGCCCAGCGTGGGGTGTCGTAGTTGGAGCAGGAGGCCTGCGCGAGGCGCATGTGGCGGTGCTCGCAGCAGAAACGGTAGTGGCAGGTGCCACAGCAGAAGCGGTAGGAGCCGGTGCTGCAGTTGAAGGTGGCGTCGTACTGGCCCATGACATCGTAGTAGCCATGGCAGAGCTCGGCCGGAGGGGGCGCCCGTGCTGCCGCGCCCGTGCCACCCGCGGGGCTGGTCTTGGTGGCATTGGCGCTGGTGCCTGCCGCGCTTCCGCCTCCCGCCAGAGCCCCGGTCAGGCGCCGCAGGTGCGCGAGAAGCGCGGGCAGCGGGCCCGGGGCCACTGCGCTCGTGTCGTTGGATGGGCGCGCCCCCGCCGGGCCCGCGGCGGAGGCTAGCAGCGCGACGGTCCCGAGCAGCAGCAGGGCGGGCATGGTGCACACCGGGACGCCAGGCTGCGGATCCCGGAGCCAAATTGCAGCGGTGGGAGGGGAGGGCAAAGGGAGCGACGAGAGAGGGGCTCAGCGGGAGAAAAGAAAAGATCGGAGGGGACGGAGGAGGGGCATACAGAAGTTTTTACGAAGGGAGGACTTGACGGAGAAGGAAGGTGTGAAGGCAGAAGACAGAGGGGGGAATTGAGGAAGATGTGTGGGAGGGGGTGTGTGTGTGAGCCGCAGCCAGAGACCCGAGGAGCCCAGGGAGGAGGGAAAGAGGAGGGAGGGAGGGATAGGGAAGACAGATGTGGGGTGTGGGGCCGCAGGGTAGTAGGGGAGGCAGAAGGAAGGAGAGGGAGAGGGAGAGAGAGAGAGAGAGAGAGAGAGAGAGAGAGAGAGAGAGAGAGAGAGAGAATATGAGAATTAGTTGAGAGCTCGGCACGAAGGTCGTGCCCTGCTCTCATGCTCTCCACACAGGTGCAGGGATACTGATACTGAGGAGTCATCAAACGTTTTTGTCCTATGCACCTGTAGAACAGCTGACCGACATGCAGGTGATGCCGGTGTGTGACAACCTAAGATGCCTCCTGGTACTGCTTAAACACACACACACACACACACACAAAACAAAGCAACAACAACAAAACAAGCCAGGTATGGTGACACATGCCTGTAATCCTAGCACTCTGAAGGTGGAGGCAGGAGGATTGTCTCAAGTTTGAGGCCAACTTGAGGTATATAAATGAGTTCCAGGGCAGCCAAAGATACACAGGGAAACAAACAGAGGAAAGTTCTCTTGGTGGTGGGCACACAATACCGTTAAGAACTACTGGCTTGGGGCTGGAGAGATGGCTCAGCGGTTAAGACCACTGACAGTTCTTCCAAAGGTCCTGAGTTCAAATCCCAGCAACCACATGGTGGCTCACAACCATCCGTAATGAGATTGGATGCCCTCTTCTGGTGTGTCTGAAGACAGCTACAGTGTACTCATAAATAAAATAAATAAATAAATCTAAAAAAAAAAAAAAAAAAAAAAAAGAACTACTGGCTTACAACGATTTGGTTTACAGTTCTCCAAAGATTCCCTACCTCTTTCATACACATGCACATGTGCACACACACAGATGCACGCGCGCACGCACACACATGTGTACACACACGATCTCATATACAAGTGTCACTGCTGTTCAGAGTTTTGAAAGAAATATACTTGATGTGGGGGTGATGAGATGAGAAATAGGACTGGGTAGGTGGGTCAGAAGGGCATGCTTTCTAGCTGTCTCCATGGCAACTGTCCAGGCAGGTCAGGAACAGGCCAGTGTGGGCAGGAGAAGATCTGGGAGTGGAAAGACAGCCTGGCAAGAACCCGGGAGAGCAGATCCGCCCAAACCCCCACCAGGCAAGATAAGCAGTTCTAAGCCAGCAAGCAGAGGCAGACTCTGGGTGTTTCCTCTCAGAGGCTCCCCCTCTTCTCAAAGGGCATCTTGACAAGGCCTAGGGAGATAGCTCTCCAGAGGCTTGGAGCAAAGGCTGTGCCCAGTACGTAGGACAGGGACTCCTTCTGGAAACAACCCTTGGGGTGTCAGGAACATCAAAGATACAGCCTTAAATAAGCCCACAGATTCCTGTGGATCTACAGTGGACCTTCCAGGGATAGGAGGGAGGAGCTAGACAAAAATGTCACATGTACTTCAGACTGCTGAGGAGAAACACTGAGTAGTGACAGTCATAGGGACCTAACACAGCAGAGGAGGAGGAAGGGCGGTTAGGATGTATTCAAGTAAACATTGTTAGGTGACTTTATCATTTGTTTTGTCCACTGTGCATGTGTGTGTGCACGCGCTTGAGAGGAGGGAGGGAGAAAGAGAGAGGGGGGGGGAACACATTGCTAAGCAAAGAGCTAGAAAGCTGAGGTAGGGAGATAGCTTTTGGGTGCTGGGGTTCCCCAAGATTTGGCTCCGCATCTTATAACATGGAGTCTCAATTTTTTGTTTTTTTAAATAGAGTCTCACTCTGTAATCCTGTAACTAGCCTGTAACTCACTATGTAGCCCAGGCTAGCTTCAAATGGATGAATGATTGAAACTCCTGCTCCAGCTTCCCGAGTGAGGGAGTCACAGGTGATAGATTTTTCTCTCTCTCTCTCTCTCTCTCTCTCTCTCTCTCTCTCTCTCTCTCTCTCTCCTTCCCTCTCCCTCCCTCCCTCCCTCCCCCTCTCTCTTTCCTTCTCTCTCTCTCTCTCTCTTTCTCTCCTTCTATTTCCTTCTTCCTTCCCCCTTCCTTCCATCCCCTCTCTCTTCTGCTGCCCTCTTCTTTACTTTTGCTTGGTTTTATTGTCATAAAGTCCACTGAATCCATGCTGACCCCAAATTCACTATGTAACTAAGGCTGACATTGAACTCTGTCCTTCTGTCTCTACTTCCTGAGAGTACTTCCACACCCAGCCTTCAACTTTCCCTTTTGGCCCTAGGTTAGACCCCTTCCCAGGACTCCAGCCTAGGATATTTCAGAGTTTACTGGGAGCCTGCACATCGGCTATTTAAAGGATACCTTGGAAGTAGGCTTGGCTCACATGAAGACTTTGACGACTCGTAAAAAAATTAAAGTCAGATATGGTAGTGTGGGTTTGTTATCCTTGTCTGCTTGAAATGCTGAGGCAGGCAGATTACAAGCTTAAGACCCACCCAAGTATATAGTGAGTTCAAAGCCAGCCCAGTCAGCTTAGCAATAAAGACCCTGACTCACAAAGAGAACCAGGCATGTGGCTGAGCATGAGTGGGAGAGCATTTGCACAGCATGCTTGAGGCTGAAGGTTTAATCCCCAGTACTATACACAAATTAATTGTTACCATAGGAACCAGCAATTCCACTCCTTTGTGTTTACCCCCAAAGATCTAAATAGGTTTGACCACAAAAATGCATGCACGAAAGTCTATAGTATCTCTGTACATAATAGATTAAAAGCAGAGAATGGGGCTGGAGAGATGGCTCAGCGGTTAAGAGCACTGACTGCTCTTCCAGAGGTCCTGAGTTCAATTCCCAGCAACCACATGGTGGCTCACAACCATCTGTAATGAGATTGGATGCCCTCTTCTGGTGTGTCTGAAGACAGCTACAGTGTACTCATCAATAAAATAAATAAATAAATATTTAAAAAAAAAAAAGCAGAGAATGATGCAGATGCTGGTGAACGGATGAACAGGTAAACAAATGTGGTACATCCATACAGTGGGCTATCATTCAGCCTAGGGAGTCACACTGATACTACACATGCTACAAGATAGGTGAATCTTAAGGACATTGTTCTAAGAGGAAGAAGCCAGACATAAAACATTATACAGTATATGATCTCACTTGTAGGAAAGACCCACAGTAGTCAAACCCACACAGACAGAAATCTTATTTATTACTTGTAGCTGGAAGCACAGAAATGATGGGTTCATACATAGAGGGCTTCATTTCAGAGTGAGGAGAATGTTCTGGAACTAGAGCAGGCAAGATGGCTCAGTGAGTAAGGGTGCTTGCTCTATTGGATTCTCTGGGTTTCAGATGGTAGACGGTGAAAAACTGATTCCCCAAAGTTGTGTACTTATTTTTGTAAGTGAATCATGGTGTGTGTGCAAACACACACGTACATACATACACACCACAAATGTAGCAGAATTTTAGCAGGGCCATTATATCTGGCATGAATTCCAGGGTGTATCTGCCATGAATTCCAGGATGATGGCACCAAGGCTCTGAAGTAGCTTTTTGTAAATAGTCAGTGGCTGTTATCCAAGAGCTGTTTCTTTGAAGGATTCTCAGAGCCTTTGCACAACTTAGTCCTGAGACATACCTGGCAAACCTAGAAGTCTCTTATGGCTGAGAATTGCTTAAGTAATGGTTCCTTCAGACAGCACTTACATCAGTAAGAGGTTTTGGCATGCAGAAACTGACTTGCTAAAGGTGCCCTTTGTGTAATAAGAAAGAGGTTCTGCAAGTGGTTCTGGGTTTGGTCCTTGAAAGGCTGATCCCCCGAGGCTGAGAAGCCAAAATTCATCCTACCCTATCTCTCTTTCTCTGACTGATCATCCTTAGTAACACATACATCAACATGCAACACACACACACATATTTAAAATAAAAGAACGTTCTGGTACTAGACAGAGATCATCATACAACATAGGCAAGATGCCAGACATTAAAACGGCTAAATGTAAATTTTATCTGTGTTTTACCAGAAAAAAATTTATTTTTGAGACATTGTCTCACTATCTGAAGTCTTGCCTGGCCTGGAACTTATTCTATAGTCCAGGCTGGCTTGAACTCATAGAGATTTGCCTGCCTCTGCCTCCTAAGCACTGGGATTAAAGGCGGGAGAAGGCGGGAGGCCATGGAATCCAACCATGCTTTACCATAAGGACAAGAATTTAGAGTCATTCTTAGCTACATAGCAAGTGCAAGCTTAATCCTGACTACATGGGACCCTGTCTTTAAAAACAAAAAACAAGCTGGGCAGTGGTGGCACACGCCTTTAATCCCAGCACTTGGGAGGCAGAGACAGACGGATTTCTGAGTTTGAGGCCAGACTGGTCTACAGAGTGAGTTCCAGGACAGCCAGGGCTATACAGAGAAACCCTGTCTCGAAAAACAAACAAACAAACAAACAAACAAACAAAAAACCCCAAAACAAAACAAAAACAAAAAAACAAAAAAAACCAAAACAACAGCAAACATAAATGGGCAGGTGACATCAGCAGCTTCCCTGTTCAGACCATGTCCTGGCTTCTGACCTCACTTAACCCTTGCTCTGCCTGGAATGCCTTTGAGTGGCCACCCTTTCTTTCCTTTCCCTCTAGGCCAACATTTTCAACCTTCTTAGGGCTGGAACTTTAAAAAGTCCCTCGTGTTGCGGTGACCCATCACCCAACAGTAAAATTATTTCTATTGCTACTTAAAAAAAAAGATTTATGTAGTATGTTTGTATGGATGTATGTATGGATGTATGTATCTATGTCT